GACGCACATGATATTTCTAATTACTTTGGACGAATGTGGTGCGACTACTCCTCTGACAGCAACTTTTCCAGTGCTTTCATCGAAAATAAAAGGACTCCAATCACTCTTTCAAATTGTATTGACAGATGTGCCACCTTCTTGGAAAATTGCATATCTGCCTTAGAACTTGAAAGTTGTCTCTCCAAATCGAAGGGGAAGACACCTGGTCTAGACTGCATCTCCTACCAAATGATCAGTGCGCTGTCTAATTCAAGTAAAAAAGAAATTGCTGGACCTATATAATACGGTATTTTTGACTGGCCATATACCCTACATGTGGAAATTGGCAACAGTTGTTCCAATTCCAATGTCAAAAAATGTCTCCATCGCATCGGATTGTCGCTCAATCACTCTTTTTTCTTGCCTCTCAAAGATATTAAAGAAGGTTATGACATCTAGACTATCTTGGTTTCTTGAGTAGAAGAACCTGATTACATAGCAACAAGTTGGTTTCAAGCGGGGTAGAGGGTGCATCGACGCTCTTTTACATATTAATTTTTTCAACATTTCCGAACGGAATCATGTAACAATTCTCTCAATTGATTTTGAAAAAGCATTTGACAGAGTTGGTCTTCATGTTATTTTAAGACTCTTGAAATCATGTAATGTTGGACAGAAATTTTTCAACTACATCAAATCATTCATGTCGCATTGGCGTTTTAAAGTTAGAATCAACAATCATCTCTCTGATTCCTTTCCGCTAAAGAATGGCATTCCGCAAGGATGTCCTCTCTCTCTCACGCTTTTCCGGATCGCCTTCAACGAAATCAGCAAAATTCTTTGTCGTGTACCAAGAGTGGAACATTGTCTCTACGCGAACGATATATATCTTTTAACAAAAGAAAAAGATAACACGAAGGCAATCTACGTCCTCGATTCTATTGGATGAGAGATCTCCACATGGGCAAACTCCTCAGAGGCTAAAATTTCTATAAAAAAAAAAGCGAATTTGTCGAAAGCAGATTTAAGATGCAGGAAATCTACTGATGCATATTAATGGCTTACCAGTACTAAACGTGCAGACGCTCCATGTTCTCGGGCTCAGGTTTTCCAACAATTATCGTTGGAGAACACATTGTCTTCGGTTAAAAAGTTCTCTTTTAACAAGGGTGAATTTCATACAGTACGTTGCTTGGAGAAGCCATGCGCATATTAACACTATTGCTTATCTCACCAAAATGCTTGTTTTAAGCAAGATTGACTATGCTTTGATAATTTACGGCAATAGCTGAAAGTCTAATATCAACATATTTAAAACCGGTCTATCACCAAGCCGTCAGACCAAGTTGTTATGCTTTTCGGACGGCGCTCATAAACAATATTATAATTGAAAGTGGTCTCCCAACTTTAGAAAATAGACTTTATAAGTTGAAACCTAAATTAGTCCCCAAGCTTCTTAATTCAAACAAATGTATCCTCGGTGATGACGTGAGAAAGACTATTATTGCGAAGAAAATTCAAAGTCATCATCTGCAATTGACTATTGTTTGTACGTCGCAAAGGAATTGGACATTCCCTTAAAAATGTTCCGCTCTTTTGGTGTTAAACCTCCATGGATTTTGAAGAACTGCGCTTTTGACATCTCGCTGTCTATACACAAGAAAGAAGATACTCCAAATCACGTCTTCAGGAATTTAGTAACTGAAAAAAACCAAATTTTGGAGAGTACTGGTTGGAATCTGTTATACCCAGACGGCTCAAAATCATCTGGTATGCCTCCTGCTTGTGCCGTGGTAGATGCTACAGGACGGATTCTTCTCAACTACATATTTCACGAAAGTACTTCAACTTTCACAACCGAAGCCAGAGCTGCGAACCTTGCCCATAAAAACAACGTCAGAACCGTCATTGTTACCGACAGTTTGTCTGTATTACAAGCTATTCGGAATCCTTCGACTTTGAGATGGAGCACCATCAACATATTAAGGAGTATAATTACAACACCCGACGGAAAAATTAAAATGTTATGGGTACCAAGTCACATCGGTTTATTGGGAAATTAGCAGGCTGATCGAGCGCAAAGGATACTGCTTCTGGTCCTCTAATTATGGATGATGTCATGGAAAAGTTGGATCTTCAAAGATACATTGGAAGAAAAGTTAAAGAGAAAATTACAGAAGGAAATCTACAATACCATCATCAACACTACTCTTCCATTAACCCTCAATTAACTCCACCTTTATATCCAGCAGATGTTGAAAAAACCAAGATCGAAACATTTTCAAGAATACGCCTTGATCATACAATTGCAACTCACCAATGGATGGAAGAAGTCTTCCTCCCCAATCTGCAGTTGTGGACAAACTCTCACTATAGAGCACATTCTTTGCGACTGCCTTAACTTCTGCTTGGCTAGAAGGATTGCATTTGGAACGATTAATCCTTTGCACATTCTAAAATCGGCTTCAGAACAGAATGTATTACTTTATTAAAACTACTAGCCTTAATATCTAATGTACATTTATATAAATTAAAGCCGATAGCCTGTGTTGCTAGTGCATTTCATTAGTCTAAAATTATAATAATAATAATAAAAATGAATGAAATGAAAAACTTTCTCAAATCCTGGCGGGTAATCGTATATTAATAGCTTTCGCTATTATATTCAGCTGTTTTTTCGAAGAAGCTGAATACAAAAACGAAAGCTACATGAGTAACATCCTAGTTTCCTTTTAAGCAAAAGCTGATTGATAAAACTGGCGGTTTGATTACATTTTCTTGATGTAAAAATTAATAAAGCAGCAAACTTCTTTGAAAACTGATTTTTGTTTTAGCAAAAGTAATGCCCAAGGGTGCATTTTATTTCCATTTATTTTATTTTTTCCTCTTTTTAGGTTTGGGCGCATCACCATTAAAAGGCAAAGAGGAATTTTAGTCCACCGGGTTGTCCCTGCAAAAAACCTTAGCAGTTAGCAGAATATAATGGCTGCGTACGAAGAGGAAATTTTTGAGTTGATAAATTTAGAGTCGCCAATCGGAGTTGCGTATACTTGACTTGCCTACGAAAACTTTTACAAACAATGTGTTGTCGTCCACAAATGGCCGTGAGTACAATTATAATCTACAATACATAATGGTTTTTCATCTATGTTTAGCACCACTCATATGACAGGTTACGAAACCGAGGATGAGATTCCAATTAAGTAACGAAATCAAATGCATATTATTGACTTCCATTTGTAATATTAATAATTATTCTTCGTTAAGTATTTATCGTATTGTGATATGACAAAAAGGCTTGAATAGCATCCGGGCTCGGGCATCTTTTTATATTTACTTCGTGTACATATACTTACCCGTTATCATATGGATTTATTTATAAAGAATGTGTAGTATTGTAAAGAGAATTGCAAATCAAAACTTAGTTTCGCCTTATATTCTAAAAAAATGGTTTAGTAGAAGAATCCTTGTATTTTGGAAAAAATTTTTCGTTTTAAAATTTGAAATTAATCATTTAAAATTTTTTGTTTTGATTCAGTTTTTTGTAGGTGAGCAATTTTCTTTGGCTTTATTTTTGTTTTCGATTTAACTTTTTTTTTCATAAATGCAACTCTGAGCACCCATTTTAACACCAAACGTGAGCTATTCAGCTTTCGCCTCATTTCATATATACAGGTAGATAGATATAAAGGAGAAAAAAGTTGAAACTAACTAGTTAGTTTAGCTTAGTACTTAGAACATAAAAAATTTCTTGGATGTTATTAGTTTGTACTACGAAGAAACTGTTGTGAAATTTTTCCATTTTTTTGCTTCTGTTAACACTCATTTTAAAATCACAATTTGGAGATTAACCGTAAGATTTTGCTTTTTTTTACACAAACATCATTGTTTTGATTGTCAGCGCAAAAGCGTATAGGAAAATTAAAAGTTCCAAACTAGTTATATGAATGTAATACTGCGATAATGCTAAGACGAACCATACGTAAACACGTGCAACCAACTCATATTTTGACATTTGTATTATATACACGGCACAAATGTATTCGCTCAGTTCATCACTCAAGTCGTGAATGCGAAAACTTAATCCATATTTCAGGTCTAAACTAAACACAGCTGCTTTATGCATTGCATCAACGCTGAGAAAAAAAAAACGCTTAATTTATCTAAAAAATAAGAAACGTCTTGCTTTACTAATGAAATAAGAAAAATATTAATCTTACCTAATATGACTTAAATATTTCGTAAGACGCAACGCTAGCCACGCTACAAATGTTATTGAAATTTTCACGTTTTGTATGCATTTCTAATAAGGAATTCGACCAAAGTGATACAGCATTGTTACAGAATTAGTACTTTTAACTTGGCTTCATTTCGGCCATGCTTCTTAATAAAATTCGCAAAATAAGTTGCTAATACAATTGTTGTTTTTTCCTCCTGGTCTTCCTTTTTTAATAAAACATGTTTTCTGTTTACTACTGATATGGGGCTTTCTTTCTGTAAAGCATCAAAACGCCATTATAATCAAGCAATGCAGCCAGCAAGTACGCCTACTGCAACGACTTTCTGACTATAATTCATCACTGAAATAAATGTCCTACTTCATAAATGGTTCCTCTTAGATTGCACAATATATTAACTCTTAATATCAAAAGCTTTCATTAATCGTGATGGTATACACTGTCGCGTGTTAACTGGCCGCGCCTAAATGTGTCACTACATGTATGCAATTGAACGTTGCACGCACTTAACATACCCTTCGTAAGGGTACAAAGTACCAGAGGAAGATGCGCAACAATATAAATAATTGGAAGACCACTCCGCAAGAATCACTTTTAGTTTGGTATACATATTTATCATTAATAAAAAATTTATGGCTTTTCCAAAGAGAATACTGTTTTTCCATATTCGTTATCCGTTAAAAACGATAGTAAGAGCAATAAAAGGATTTTTTATCAGACATAGCTCTGCGATAATGTGCTTTTAAAATGTCTGATCCAAAAACAAATCAAAATAGAACTCACCTCAGCTACTTTAATAAAACGTCCTCGACGATTTTGTTTCACATCTAAATAGAACCGCTTCGATTGAATTTGCAACATTTTTGTAGCCAATTCTTGTTCAGCTTGTCCTTGTTGGGCTGTTAATATGAAATTACAACGCATACTAAATTAGGTGATTCGATATTCATGAATATACTACCTTTACTAGAGACATCAAATTCACCGCGTCCTGCACTTTCCATGTTGCTTGGGGCGTTGTATTCTAAAAAGAATCCAATTATATTGGCTTATTTTTTGAAATAGACATTAACATACTTGAGCCTGTAATGACTCCCTCATCAGCACTGCCAATATCAGACATTCTCGTTTTATGCAACTATTGATATTCGACAGTTTACCAAAGTCCGACTTATCTTCTTTTTGATATGAGTGGTTTCGCAATAGAGGTAACCAGCTTTCTATTAGTGCTAATTCCACTGGCCTAATGTGAGCACTTGTCCTTTCATTCAGGAAAAACGCTAAATTGTATTTCACTCTCTACGGACACTGGAACTTTGTTCATGCGCTTGGTTTGGCACCTAAATAATTAACGATAAGAAAGCAATATATTAATAAAAATGATTCGTTCATATCATTTATATTGAAAAATGGGTTGGGCTTGGTTGAAATCTCTAGTAGCTCATTATTTCATTTTATTCGGGTTTAGATAATATTGTACATCGACAAGAGCTTTGTAACTTTCCGAAGTTATTTCCAAATTTAACCTATTGCAGAAATACGTCCGCAACGAATAAATTGTCATTTGCTCGACAAGGCTTGATTTTTTACCTGCATTGTTGCACTTAAATGGAGGGAGAGTCACAATTGAGTTGGAGAGTGTACTAGGGAGGTCATATGTTCGACGAACACGAACCGTAACATAGTTTTATCATGTTAATACGATAATTACAAACTTTTTGCTGGCGACAGGCCATTAAATTTTTTTTTTTGTATGCACATTTCTCTCAATAGAAGCTAAGCACTCTTTCTATGGAAACTAATGTTAAATTATAAATGTTTCCACGAGGATGTCACCGCTTGACATGTACATTTCATCTTTTGTGAGAAGCACGCAAGGGAGAATACATTCAGTTTTGAACATATTATTCTGAACAAATGTGCAAAAGAAGAAAGATTTCACTAATATTAGTGAACGCGTTGATAAGTTTAATTGCCTTACGCTGAGCTAATGATAAAGAAAACACAGCCGATTTTTAAGTGTGGAAAATGTCAATTTTATCATATGAAATTTCTTCTCCAACATATACATAAGGAATTGTATTCTACCCTAATACATATAGGACTACACTAACAAATATATGCCAAATTGAACTTGGCGTACGATAGGGATCTTAAATTGTTTCTTTTTATAAGCTTCTATTTCGCTTTCGCCTCAAAATAGGATGTGCCAGTTGGTATTTCGGGTACAACACACAACTTTCGATGATAACACAACTTTACTTCCGATGATAACACAAAGGAGAAAGAATGTGATAAACTGTATTATTTCTATTTTCAATATAGAATATAAACAACAACAATTTGAATTTCAAGTTTCACTAATTATGGATATACACATATCCATGTGAAATAAAAAGTCAGTAGAAAGCGAAAAGCAAACTACGTCAATTATTTTGTAAATGCGCGACCGTAACAAAAATAAGCATTGTAATAATGAAGGGGAAAATTAATTGAATGGGACTTTTCGAGAATCATTGTAATTGTAGTAGAGTGTAAAACTAAAAGTAAAATATATAAAAATTTTTTTAAATAATATTCCATATTAACGAAAAAAATGTAAGAAAACTATCTTCGGTTGTAATCACATTTTTTATACCCATCTTCGTTATCCCATTTCGTACAATAATATTATGGAAGCTTGTATCGTGTATCTTGTGCAGTTTGCGAGCAATGAACAAGGGGGAACGCAAAAGTTTTTACGGTTCTTGTTATACAGGAATGTGGGCGTTATAGGCGTGCTCTTTCAAAAGTTTAGGTCATTTTTAAATTCTTTTCCATGGTTGTAGGCGATGTTTACAATTTTGCAAAATGTTTCCCACGAATACTACACAGTTACATAAACAGGCAAGCTTCGGCGCATTCTGAATTTGAAATTGGCTAACAGCTTATATACTTTATGGGATTTTTGAAGCTTGCCCCTGCGTGTGCACGTATTCGAAACAATGAAACTATGAGATGCTATAACATTGGGTAGGCGTGGTTATTTTTAATACATTTGTACAGGTACTACAGGCAATATAAGTGAGTTTCCGTAGAGATTTAGTTTGCTTTCAAAACACAACTACTTTTGACTGAACTAACACAATTTTCCTTTCATTATTCATGGACTTTTACACGCGCCATAATCCGACTTGATAGGATTAGTCATGTCGGAATTACGTGAGTTTAGTCTTTCTTTTACCTTGTTATGTGAAATGAAATAAAATTTTATGTGGTGAAAACATTTGAATACAAACATGATAATCTGAGGATTGTATTCGTCATCAAACATATGTACGTACCAAGCCTAAAAAAGAATTTAAACACCCTTTTCCCAAATTCACAAGTTATAAATTTTTTAGTTGCCTCAAGCGAAGAGCAAGCTAACAAACTTAATTTTAACTGTATAATGTGTTGACAGGTAATCTGATTTAAGGAGTTAGGCTAAATAGGCGAATTTCCCCCTACACCACCAGAGAATGACATTTGCTTCTTTGTTTTTATAACTATATACATAGCGTCCAGTTGAATGATTCGAAAGAAGAAGCAGATGCTGTTTGCGAGTTACGCAAAAGACATGAGAAATCCGATAAATTTCCTGACGTTAATAAATGAATTGAAGAAATATATTCTCGAAAGGAGTACCTATAAATTTGTGTCGATTAACCATATTGCTTTCATTTATTTATAGACAAATTTCCGAAAGAAAAAAGGAGAAAGATTTCTCAACTTGATGTTAGATTTACGGCTCTGGTCAACGTAACCAATTTTTATTTCTCAAAATTCAGCACAACGAAGTGGATATATTTAGACGTTACATATGTAGATTTTTGATGAGGAAATACAGCAATCGATCCCATGGACAAATGTCTGAAAAACTCTTACCAAAATTGCCATCAGAACACCTGTAACATCAGTAAAAGAAATTCTTCCGGTCGGTTGATTATATGCCCACAATTAACGGCAAAATTTTAATTCAGACTTATTTTGCATTTCTTCTAATGCACATCGGATTGGATTTTATCATTGCCGACGTGTTGGTGGACCGATTGGACACGCTTTCGGACTAAACATAAAAGTGATCCTAATGAATACCTGGTGTACAGGTTCTTCAAAATACCTTCATAAAATCGAAAATTAAAGACGAAAGTATAAAAATATTTCCAGTTGTTTTAGTTTGTTCTGGATTGTAGGCGCACCTGTTAACGTACCAGGTCTAATTATTAATATCTTAATCGATTAAGGAATCTTTGTACAAAATTTCCGGTTCCTAATTTCCATTTTTGCGACTTAACTACATACAAAATCTACACGATCCCCGTAAATCTTCGGTATTCGTTCCGTATTCACTGCCAAATAGGTCTATGAAATCTTTTGTCAAGGTCCACGCGTTAATGAAGGACTCTGCCTAATCTATGTCCGTATTAAATTCGAAGCCAATTATTGTTTTTTGAATTATTAGAATAATAGCTACATTAAAACTTTCCACTTTTCACCATATTTCTCTTATTCAAACATATGTGCAGGCTTCCTTTGTCAAAAGATGATAGAATTTCAGTTTTTCATCGTAACATCTGTGAAGAATCGAAATGCAATCTTCGTCGTTGTAGAAAACACAATTATCACAAATGAACTTACATATACATACGTATATACGAATGCATGTACAGAACTGCGGATAAAAACTTAACCAAGCATTGTGTACAGATATTTTTGTAATAAGCTTCTTTTTTATGAATAGTTGTTAATTCATTGTACAATCGAATGAAATATGCGTGAAGCAATTTCTTCATTCACTAATCCACTTCCTTACAAAATCTTACCTGGAAATAAATGTGAAACCCTACAAGAGATTTACTTCTGTTTTACTTTAACATGTTAACCTGTTGGATGTACTTCCTAATTGGACCACACTCGTAATAGTTTATGGTGGAATTAATTATATTGTCTCAATTCCGACATTTACTTACGTTACTCTTCGGTAAAGTTTAGAATATTTTTGATTGTATTCGTTTTTTACCAATTTTTTTACAAGCAAATTTTCACAAAATATATGCCTTAGTAATATGTGTTTGCCTGCGTGCGTTATCCTGGCGGAACTTTAAAACTGCTGATAAATCCCTTTTTGGCAGCGTCATCATAACAGTCAGTGTAGTCATTACATTCATGTACATTCTATATTATGAAGCGAATGAACATATTCAAACTTTGTTCTTGCGTTGAAGTCGTGGATTTACAATAAACATATTTATACATACGACATACGCATCAATGGATATATATATATATATATATATATATATAAGTATATTTATATATACATATATATATATATATATAT